GTAGATAGATTTCTGATCGATAATTAATTTTATACGACCGAAAACGTTTTAGAAATATATTTTATTGCAGTGCTATGGACGTTGGAATACCGGTTGACAGTCCAAATCTGGTGCTGTTGTTTTACGTGGCTCAACTCTTCTTACGCGAACTGCACAAGAGTAAAAATCTCATATCCATCATACCCATGGACATGTCCGGATATTATGGTAAGTTGCACGTGTACGTTTACAATGTTTCAATAATGATCTATAAATTATTTATAGAATCTGCGGATATGTGCAGGGAAATGAAACAAGTCCACGTGGAATGTTACTATAACTTTTTTTTTATACAAGTACGTGGTCGTTGACGATTTTAATCTCGAGAGATAAATGAGTGCCTCGCCGACCGAGGCAAAATTTAATTCACATCGTTTTCGGTAATAACACTCTTAATTATATTCCCACGCGAGGGGCGATTTGTGCGTAAGAACAAGCGTAGCAAGAACGCCATCGGAATCGAGTCACGTTGCGTTATCGACTTGCACCGAGGCATAATATTAAATCGGTTTCTGCGGTCGCTTTGAACCAGGCCGGATAGACTGATTTACGGCATCCCAACGGACCATAACTCTCAAAACTACCGTGTACAGTTGTAGGCCGTTACGCGTTCGACGAATCCCAATTTCCGACTACACATCGCTTCCTACAATCAAGCCGAATTCTATTGTACACAACGTACACATGTCGGAGACAGAGTGACGAATCATCGTTTCATGCGTAGCGTTAATACACGTTTTTCTAACTTTTAACGGCATATGCCACGCTATAACGTGTAAGCAATATAAGGTATCTTTCTCTCTCATAAGTGAAACTTTGCTCCGAATAATTTATAACTATTTCCTTGACATTAGCACTATAGCTTGTTCCGGGAGCTCGCTTATTTCTGCCTCCGTTGCACATATTAAAGTTTATGGAAGCTTTTTTAAATCTCATCAAAAAAAAAGGTTGAGAAACGCCCTATGCACTTTTATATTAAAGTCATGTTAAACAGAGCGTTACGTATTAACATATTATATTATTAATAAGAACGTGATTATTATTTCCATCACACACTTCGCTTAAAATATTTCCCTTGGATATATTTCACGAATCCGGGAGAAGAAAGAAAGACATTGTTAAAATTGAATGACGTGAGAAATCTAACGACACAGTTTTCATTATCGCGTTACAGAGAACCGCGCCGGTCCCTCGTATATCGGCAATGTGGTCTCGCAGATCCTCCTGTGCAAACAGATTAGACCGGACTTCAACGAAGAGGAACTCTGCAGCATCCGAAAGGACTCGGAAGAGATCGGCCAGCTGATAGCAGAGCTACAAGAATTTATGCCCCAATCTGAGGCTGACACGGGTACAATTCCGCCGGTATCTTCGTCCATATTCCGCCCGAGAGCTTTGCCCTTTTCAGTGACGATCGTCTCACGAATCTATCAATCATGGTTTTCAGAAAGTAGATTTAACAACTTGTAGCAACGTATATATAAAAAAGAAAGGAAATTAGACGAAAGATTAAGTATACGAAAGAAGGGTTTTTGCTAAAGAAGAATCTGAAAATAATTTGTTAAACTATCAAAATATATAATTATGATGGATACTCGAGCTAGTTGTCAGAATATACAAATTTTTTGCAACATTGCTCGTCATGCTTGAGTTTCCTACGTAATTATTCTCATGTTCCAACAAAATTATTTTCAGAACTGTATTTAGTTGAATTTTTACATATTTTAGCAAAATTGTTTCTCCTGTGTATAATAATGTATTATAAAAATTAATATAATAAAGCATTTATTATATCTCCGATCTAGCCAAGCAAACAAGATATATTCGGATAATCGAAATTTTTATGGGTAATTAAATGAAGAAAGTCTATTTATCGTAACATTCTGTGAATTGTAACGAAATAGAGAAAGAGAGAGAAATTATTATAGTAATTTACCACTTTTCTTCATTCTTTCCATTTTATTTTCTCAGTTCTTTTGAGCTGTTTAATTTACATATTTGTTTTTTATTCATTGCAATGAATGGGGCCGCGCTTTCTTTCTGTGCTTCGTAACATCTGAGACCTGCTTCTAAAGCAGAAGATTGTGCCTCAAAATGACTGGGAATGTTGCTTTCTAGCGTTTAGATCTTGTTGGTACATGTTTGTTTCATGTTACTGGTACCGAGATGAAGACGTATGTTATATCGTGTATAACATACGCCTACATATGTTTTGCGTGAACGTAAATGTAGACGAGAGACGTTCATTCTCCTAGCAATGCCATTTAGATAACAGAGCTTAAACGATACATTCGGATAATAGAGGTTTTATCATATATACGTACAAAAATACACACACAAACATAAACATTTTTTATATATATATATATATATATATTTTTACGCTACGTGAAATATACGTCGAAATATTTCCGAACGCGGAGCGAGATTAAAAGAGGTGGAGGGGATGGGATAAATAGGTCGGAAAGTCTGTAGATGTAGATTTTGAAACGAGGCGGAAGAGATACGGAATAGGCATGATCGATATAATATGCAGAACGGAAAAGCATTGTGGGCTTTCGGGCACGTCATTAGTATGTGAGTACCACAAACGTGAGCTCGTGTCGATATATGGTGGACGCGGGAGAACGCCATTCGACCCTTAGACCCTGGTAATACGGGTCAAGGACGATCCATTCTGCAAAATCCGTTTGTCCGAAATGCATTCCTCCGGTCCGTGAAGGAAGCGCGGGTGAGCAAAAGTGGCAAATGCCAGAGGGCATAAAAAGAAGAGAGCGAAAAAAGAGCGGAAAGTGGGAGGGGGAGGGAGAATATATATATTCGTTGGCCAACAAATCTAGGCTGTCGTTCGTAAAACAATCTAACTCGTTTGTTCGATAAATATTGCCCTCTATTGTGCTGCAGGGAGTTGACTTAAGCGTGAAACAGGAGGATGGGAATACAACGAGGAGGAGAATGGGAGGAGAAGAATTCGAGACGGAGAAGACGAAAGGGTAGTTTAAGCGCGAATTAAACTATGTTTCTGCTTCATAAATCAATGTAATGCGGGAATAATAGCGGAGTTATATTTGAGACAGTCGTATTATTAATGAATGCGTAACACCCGGTAGATCCGGAATACCCCGCGCTTCGAATTTCAAACGTTCAAGTAATAATGACAACTAAATATGATTCATTCACCGGAGTGACAAGACGCAACCACTGAAAATCCTTTTTGTATTTTCATGCACAAATGTAGTCAACACAATATCTTACGGTATTTAAAAAAATTTTGGGCAAATCTGAATCCGAAAAAAAAAAATCAACGAGATATGACGAGTCAGACTAACGAACGTGGGAAGGAGAGGAAACAACGCGTGCGATGCAATCTAGGATTTATGAAAACAATATCGATGAACGTTTTTATATCGCACTCATCTGTATTCATGTTGCCAATTCGTGGCCAATTCAATGGCCGAAGACAACGTAATGTGCAAGCGCGAACGTATATGTAAAGAGAACGCTTTTCCCAGTATACGGGAAATCTCTCAATTTGCTGAATGTCATAATCAAACTCGCGCACAAAACTTGTCGTTTCTGATTCTGGTCGCGTAATGGTTTTTGCACGACAGCTAAATTTTAATCGATTTTAATGCGCTCCGCCGTCGGGGTGAGAGCTTGTTTTGCAAATGCATTCGCAACTAAATTAGTAATTAACAGTGAGAAGAAGGGATAGACAGAGGGGAGGTGCAAGGAGGGGAGGGGAGGTTTCCAAACACGCGCACGATTCGGGAACAAGGTCGGAGCCGCGATCCCAGCTTCCGCGGTTCACCAAGTGAGTTGAGTGCTCTGGTAAGCGAGTCTCCGCACGAACGTGACTCGGTTATCGAGAGGAAAAGCAGCGACAGTTTGATACGGAGTTATGATATGGGTCAAGGTCGCGCGAGTCGCGAGGAAAGAGGGGAGGGGGGGGGAGGGAGGGATCGAGATGATTTCCGCTCGAAAGATACGCGAGATAAAACGAGAGTTTTCCAGAAGACAGGTGGGCGGCCGCGAAATGTCGACCGCGCGTTTCTGAGCGTGGCGTGGACAAAGCGCGCGGACAAATCGCGAACAATTCTCGATAGAACTCGCTGAGTGGTACACTCGCACGATGAATCTGCAAACATTGTGAAATTCGCAGAACAATCTCACTGCTGGTTTACGAAGGAGAGAATTCGACAAATACTTCCGGCGAACGGAAACGCAAAGCAAAATTACCGCTTCTCCTGTACACTCCTCTCGTTTGACTTTGTAACCCTTCTGTTTGTTCCACAATACAGTTAGTATGTTGAATTAACCCTAATACGCGCGATTGAGTTCATTCGTGTCCTGCACATTTTTTTTTTTTCGAAAAATTAAGAGCATCGAACAATTAGATTAATATTCGTATAATATTTTTTAAATACACAACTTTTTTATAAATACTTTCTAAATATGTTAAGGTACATGCAAGATTAACATAATTTTTATTTATTAAAAGATGGAAATTAATCCGGAACACGAATAACTATTGTGTGTAGTACACTAAAAAAATTAATAAATATTATATAATAGTTTGAATAATTTTAAGTAAATATTTATTAGATATAAATATATATTGATACAAAAGCTAATTTTCATTATCATTTTTTCATTGAATATTAAATATTAAATATTTACTGTAAATAAATATTTATTTAGTACTATCTAATCAAAGAAATATGTATTAAAATTTAGTATATTTTTTTCAGTGTAAGGGTATCGAAAAATCATTGTATGCATTAAGAGTTAATACAGTATCGGTTAATGTTCTTCATTAAAACATATAATTACACCTTTTTATAAGACGCAAAACTGTGCAGTTATCGCTATCATTTTAGTTTTATCGGTGTCCCAATGAATTTTCGGGGATTTTTTTTTTTAAATAGAATAATTTGTTCGAAGATAATTTGGAATTTATTAAATTTCTGCGCTTATATATTACGCGTCGCTTCACTTCGATGTAATCTCGAATGCATATTCCGCGAATTGCAAATAATCGGAATTACTCGAAATTAATTTCGTTTCGTTGGACAGATAAATATAATCGGTGATAATGGATAGAGTTTATCTAACCGGAAGATATGTGTTACATCCGTTGTTTGGGATTAACACAAGCCGACATCCTTCTCGCCCGTTACATTAAACCTCGCGAGATTATCCTTGTACGCTTTCAATCTCTCGTGGAATTTCATATTCCTGTCGCTACCAACATTATCCGGGAAGACCCCGATGGTATTGCAATTTATAGCGATCGTCGCGTTGACAGAATTAAGTCGCCCTTTCAACAACGCAATCCTTTTCTCCTCCAGCTTCATATCTTTTCGTAAGGCTCGAAACGCATTAAGTATCTTCCCTTTTCAATAAAAAAAAGAAATAAAAAAAGTAGAGAGAACTTGAATAGACGCTTACCATAGTATCGTAGATTCTCATTCACACATTACGATGAGTGATTTCCAACAATGAGAATGTAACACAGTGAATTATTTCATCTTTGTTTAACATTGACAAACAACAAGATTGTAATGATTCACTGTGTTGCACTGTGTCATCTGCACTTTTTGCTGGAAAACATCCGATATGTCTCTAAATCTGTGCAACAATTTCGAATTTTCTTTCTTCAGAGTAGACAAAATAATGATCTAATCGTAAGTTAGATGATTTTCAGTAAAAGACACAGATATCAAGTAGAAAATAGAAATAAATATCATAAGACATCATCACGATCTTGTTTGTTATTTATAATTCATTTTTAAATATCAAATGATGTCATGATGATGTCTTATGACATTATAATTTAATTACGACTCTGTGTTTTACTTGGATAACACAATATAACACAGCACACTGAGAATCATTTCGTCTTTGCTTAACATTGGTAAATAACAAGAATGTAACGATTCACTATGCTACAGTGTCATCTGCGTCTTTTGTTGGGAAAAACTCTTTCTAAATCTGTGATAATTTCGAAATTTTAGGACCCTCTCTTTTATCCCTTCAGGCCATGGCAAAATAACGATCTAAGTCATAAAATTGTCTATCTCTGATTCTCTCCCTAGAGAAACCGGTGGCCCTTCACAATCCTGGGAACAAAATCAATCGGAACAACGGAACACGGAGGATGCACCGATGGAGCAGCAACAGAGACCGACAATCGTCCTACTTCCGCAACGGTTTCAGATTTCTATGCTGCGCCGCGAGTACTAATTACGTTTAACGTACATATAATTCATCTCGATTCATTAAAACGTAATATAGTTCCGATTAATTTAATAATGAATAATTAATACGCACTGATATTTTCACAGTGATTTCAACGCTAAATTCCCTAAAATAAAGTTAATAGGAATCGATGGGGCTTCGGCTTCGTAAACTAATCACGATGAAAAGTCCCATTTATAAAGTATCCTAAGAAAGGCGTAATAAATATTATAGTTTGGCGATTTATCTTCAAAGAAATGCTCAAAGTTGCTTCGCTTTCGACGAAGCTTTAATATCGCGCGTTCATTTATCGTAATTTCTTAACCAGTCTCCGCGTCATTAATATACATCTCTCTTGGGATACTCTCTATGAAAGACTATACGGACAAAGAATGTCGCAACGATACACTTCGTCGGATGATACACTTCGAGAAGCCTAATCAAAAGGCCTAAACCTGTCCCATTCGAGAGACATCCTTGGAACAAATTTTTAACGCACGTACAGCCGGTGACAATCAAAGTAGAAGCTCGAGACATCAATAATTATTACAAATCACATCGCAATAGATACGGGTAAACAGATGATGGGAATGGATGAGACAAAAAGGGGGAATTTCAGCATCTTTTTCGTCTTTCAGCAAGAATTCTAGTGGCACTCGATATTGCTCCCATTTTTTTGGACGTTCTTCTGTAGTCTTCTTTTCTAAGAACTCGCTGTCCCATTAAATTTCCAAGTCGCGGACAAAAGAGCCGCTGGTGTCGAGGAGCTCTTTTATTCAAGTCCACTCCACAATCATTTCATCAATCCCGCTATAATTGCTCGGATGATCTAACTCGAATTTTTTCAAAATCGTATCTCTTACGATAATCAATTTTCTCGGTTCGTTGCATTTAGATCTATCGTTTGTGTCAAATTTAATCGGAGATCTTCAACAACAAGGTAAATCTAATAAATAATCGCTCGTAATCAAAACTAGCTTGTAATCTTTCGATTCCGGGTCTTTAAATCCTAGAATCTAGACGAACGCATTCGAATATATTGTCAAATATATTGTCAGAATAAATCGCGTCTGTGTCGTGTCAAAACGAGTAGATGTACGTTATGGAGCAATTATAATATCCTAGCGTATTTACAAGTGAGTGGACCAACCTCGATCTATTTATAATGCGCGACGGATGCATTATAGCTCTAGGTATCCGCGTTTCGCATCTCGCGTTATATATATATATATATATGTATATATATCTATATATCTATATGTATATATATA